TCCTCCCTCCCAGGTCCTCTTACTGAAGGAAATGCCATAGCAGATGAGGTAGCCACCGCTGGAACATTCTCTGCCAGCGTAACATTCTCTGCCAGCGTAACAGATGCCCAGAACCTCCACCATGCCACCCACATTAATTTACAAGGGCTCCATCTCAGATTCCCCCACATTCCCCTCAGACAACTTAAATGCATTGTTAAAACCTGCTCTTCCTGTGCATCAATGATACATACCCCCGCTATACAGCAGATGAGCACCAATCCTTGGGGGCTACAATCTAATGCCCTCTGGCAAGTTGATATAACCCATGTCCCCCAATTCAGTAGACAAAAATATGTATTTGTAACTGTAGACACTTACTCCCACTTCCTTTGGGCTACTGCCCAAACTGGTGAAAGTTAGAAAAATCTAATAAATCACATGCTCTCATCCTTTGCTATCATGGGCCTCCCTACACAGCTAAAGATGGATAATGGCCCAGCACTTACCAGCTCCCCGTTTAAAAAAATTTTGTGAAGCCTGGAAAATCACCCATCACACTGGCATCCCATACAACCCACAAGGACAAGCCATTGTGGAAAGGTCACCTAAAACCTTAAAAGACCAACTAAAAAGACAGGTTCAAACAATGTATTCTCCCAACATTCAATTAACATTAGCCTTGTTTACCTTTAATGTACTTAATGTTTATCGAGGGTCTGACACGCCCCCATCACCTGACACTGGGCCCAGACACACCCCATACCACCCATCATGGTTAGATGGAGGGACCCCCTTGATGGAATCTGTAAAGGACCAGATCCATTGCTGACCACAGGGAGGGGATTTGCTTGTGTTTTTCCACAGGATCAACCAAAGCCTATCTGGGTTCCAGCCAGAAATGTCCGGCACCTCCCCGCCCACAAAGAAGATGGCTTGCATGACCTTGTCGGAGACAAAGAAAAGGAAAAGGAGGAAACGACACCCAAAACCACACAGGATCACATGGAAAGAGATCCATGATCTGGTGGAGACTGCTCGTCACAGATGCCTCCCCCCAGCTTCTTTCTCTGTCATCCTCATGGCCATTTTTACCCTGCTTAACAGCAACGCTTCAGCCAGCCCCCCCCCCCAATACTATATTCTGGAGATTTTATGTCAGGGAAACATTTCAAGGAAAAAAGTCAAATAATTGGAACCAAGACTGCCCCCTAGTGGGCTTTCAAAAACCCATAGAAATCATAATATACCCAAATGCTAGCAGATACAAAACTAACGAATATGTTTGCTTCCCTTTCCAACAGACAGATCCATCATGCCTCAGAGAAGTTGATGCCTATGGGGGCTGCCGCTATTTCAATCCCTGTGGGTTGGAACTAGGATTAACTGGGGGATATCAGGGTATAACAGGACAAGAAAAACCCATCTACCTAAATGATAATAAGTATCTCTATGGAAACCATGACTATTCCCTAATATATGTTGCAGATCCATGGGACGATCACTGGCGTATCAGAGTAATGGGAAAGTTCTACCCAGGTGCATTCTCTAGTTGCCCTACAGCTGACTTTCATATCTCTTGACAGCTTGTACCTGCACCTAAGCCCGTGCTAACTCATCATAATATTATTCTACAGGAAAAACAAACAGAGGACCACATAAGATAAACTATGTACTGGAGCAAATACATTCAATATGTTGCTAACTTTCTTCCCTTCACCACCCTCCCCAGTGCCTCTAACTGCTTCTTTTGTGCATCCAACAACAGACCTTTACTGACAGCAGTACCAGTTAATACCACCCTTCTTTACCCAGAAACAAAAAAAGATTTCACTGACTCTCATCTGATGGGTATTCCCTTATTCGAACAACTGGCTAACTATCCAATTTGCATTTCCAGCAAGAGTAAGCCTACTCATTACAAATGCCTCAGTAACATTACTCTCTCCAGGATAGCATGCGTCGCCCCTCCTCTTTTCCTATGGTGCAAAGGAAAAGCCCAACACTGTGTTAACTCCTCTTTGTCCACCTTTTGTATACCAGTAATAATTACACCCCAGGTGTACCTACTCGAGAAGGAAGAAACCGCTTTCCTCCTACACAGCTCCTACACGGCTGCCAGCAGAGAAAAATCTTCTTCCCCCTGCTGGTGCGCTGGTACAAACCCCGCGCCTGGCGGGAGATTTTCGAGACAAGCTGGACCACACAATAGCATCCATGACTGACAGCTGGAATCTCTCCAATGACAAATTAACTCTCTCACCAGGGTTGTGCTCCAAAACAGAAGAGCACTGGACTTAATAACTGCTGAACATGGGGGGACGTGTGTAGTATTGGGAGAGGAATGCTGTTTTTTGTGTGTGAATGAATCAAATGTTGTTGAGACCAATGTTAATACTCTCAGAAAACTTTGTAATGATCTGTTTTCAAGATTTCAACCCACCGAACAATTGGGTTGGTTTAGTAACCCCTTGTTTTCATGGCTCCTACCCTTTGTTAGCCCCCTGATCATGCTGTGTGTCATTTTGATGCTTGCTCCCTATTTCATACAATTTCTTGACGCTGACAAATTACTACCATTGCTAAAATTACTACCAAGCAGGTCATGGTCAATTATCAAACTTTGGATTCTCCCGAGATAGATGAGTTCACTCTTAAGGCTTGTGATGACACTGCTCCATTGTAAAACAAAACACGGGGAGATGTTGGGGAACCCTGCTGCTAGGGTTGTAGTCCTCCATGTCTGGATAGCTCTAAGGGGCTCAGCGCTATATGGAAGGACTCCCCTTCTCTGCAGGGTGTGAAGGAGGAGGGCAGCTTCTTCTCCCTCAAATAGGTACACCTGAGGCATAATCATTACAGGTACACAAAAGGTGGACAAAGAGGAGTTAACACAGTGTTGGGCTTTTCCTTTGCACCATAGAAAAAGAGGAGGGGCGATGCATGCTGTCCTGGAGAGAGTAATGTTAGTGAGGCATTTGTAATGAGTAGGCTTATTCTTGCTGGAAATGCAAATTGGACAGTTAGCCAGTTGTTTGAATAGGGGAATACCCATCAGATGAGGGAAGGGGAGAGAGGGAAAGGAAAGCTGGAGATGTAGCTCAGTGGTGGAGTATTTGCCTAGCATGAATAA